AATTTTTGCTGGTATAGCAATGTCTGTAAGGGATATTATTTTTTGGCAACATTTCTATACCAGCAAAAGCCTTAGTGTAGATGTGATTACATTGCTGTCACTGGTATGTAGCTTATTTTGCTCAGTGAATCAGTATAAGTATACCAGCAAAAGCACTTTTTTGCTGGTATAAGCTGCATCGATGCTGGGAGCGTTTGCCAACATAGCAATACTGGCAAACCTTTTCTAGTGTAGATCTGGCCTGAGTTGGCCTGCAAATTGCAACATCAATGTGCAAGATTGCAGAGGTGAAAGTGGTAACTTGTCTTGTTTGTGGTTAAGGTAAGCCATGCAATCAACTGCATTGTCATTGGCTATGTCTTCATCACAAAAAAGGTAGGGGGATTTTTACCATGGGATTTTTACTGCAGGATAACGAACGTACATTAGCTATTCTGCTGTCAAATTCTAGTGAAGATGAGGCATTGTAGTTTTTACCTTGAAGTAAACCATGGGCAGGAGAATAGTATTGACCTCACCTCGTATGGTAAAAACAACCAAACCTTGTCTCCACTAGGATTTTACTGCAAGATAGCTAATGCACGTTAGTTATCCTGCAGTAAAAACATACCTTTCTTTGGTGGTGATGACATAACAGTCACTGTTAGAGTGACAGCAGAAAAGAAATTGGCAATACAATCTCTGCATTGAAACAAAGAGATTTGCTTCCATTTTTCTCCTGAGCTTATTGTCTTTTCCCTGTACCCACTCCCTTGGATGAATTTTTGGTCTCTTTCCTACTTCTGGCTTTTTTGTAATATTCTTCTCTCCCATTGTGTGACTTCTATTCTCATTCCCTGCCCTTTAAAGGGGTGGGGAAGATTGTGTGCTTATTTTGTTTCTTTATGATATCAAAGAGACCTGGAAGGTGTGTTTTAAAAAAAACCCACACAAACAAAAATGATGCGTGAGGTGGGGGTAGTGAGTGTCCCTTCTTGTCTTTCACTTTAAGCCTGGCCTACGCTTAAACATTTTTCAGACATAACTATGTCAATTAAGGGTATGAAAAAAATTCACACGCCTACTCAGCATAACTCAGAAATCCTAACGTAGAAGCTGTCATGCAGCTAAAAAAGTCCTTGTGCTGATATAAGCTGCATCTCCACTAGGAGGGCTTGCCAGCATAGCTATAATGGCAAACCCTTTCTAGTATAGACGTGGTCTTACTCATGTGTTTAACTTTTCACATGTAAAGAATTTATTGGCCTCCCTGCCTAAGGATATTGATAAGCGAGCCTTTCATGAGAAGAAATAAATCCCATAGGCCAAAGGATAACACCATGTATCCTAGAACAGGTAACAGGAACCTTTTAAAGGAATAGAACCCAATCTAATTAAATTTGATATATGAGATAGCACACTCAGCTGTGTCACATAGTTCCCACCTTACTGTTCCCAGCCACTACCAATCCAAGGAAAAATGTGTGCACGGTGGGAACCAGTGAAGGAGGCCAGACAAGTGCTGACACTGTCCCCATACCTGCAATCATACCAACTTGGGCAGGAGGGAGAAGTATCCTTGATGCAGAAAAAAAGAAAATGGGGAAAGTGGATCCTTCCCCAGAAAACTGAAATACCACATACAATTTTCTGCATTTTTGAAGACTACCCCATTTCAGATAGAAAAACTGTATGCAATGATATGTAAGCTTACTTGGTAATACCCTGAAAGTTCTTCACTAGAGTAACTTATCAGTGGCACATTATGTTCTGCAAACAAATATGAATCACAATAGCCAGGTCCTAAATGCACTCACATACTTGCAGGTCAGATGCACAAAATATATGTAAAGCCAGTGTCATTACTGGTGGGGAAAATAAAACGGATGGTTACTTCCACATGCGAAGGGAGACTTAGCTTACTTGCCCACCTTCCATTCATTAACTTCCAAGAATCCTCCTCCTACAAAATCATGTCATTTGATTGTATTTATATAGAGATACAAAAGGATTTAATCCTCACCATACCTGCAGATCTCATCAGAAGAGTAACTATGGAGTCACTAGCACCACTTTAATAAAATCAAACTTATTGGTGCATATTTTGGAGTAATATTTTGGCATCACATAGCTGATCAAGCAATTTTAAAAATATTTTATGGGACAGATTCTCTGCTGTGCTTTCTACTGGGTACAGCAGATGAGACTGTTAAGGCTCCCCCTTTCTCTGCCCAGCCCCAGCCCCAAACTGGTTACAACAGCCCCTAGGGACAATCTGCCATCTATGGATTGCTGGAGTATATTTTACTCCAGCCACTTCTACCCACCCCCAAAATGCCTCTCCCATCCCCTGACATGGCCACTGCACCAGGGGCCATAGGGAGGGAGGTATAAGAGCCAGCTCCATGTCTGCTCAAGAATCCACCATTCAGAGGTATCCTCAGCCAGGAGGCTGAGGTTAATCTGTGCTACCTTGGCACTAAGAAAGAAGCAGAGCAAGACAGAAAGTCTGTCTCTTGCATTTTGTCTTCTTCCTTTTTCCTTCTATGCCTACCTGTGGGAGTTCCCCCTTAGTCTTTTTCTCCCGCTCCCCTCCTTAAATCCTGCTCAACAACATTCATTTCCTTTTTACCTCCCTTTTTCCAGCATCCCGTTTAGTCAGGGCTGCAGCTGATCTGACTGAAACAAACTTCACCTTGACTGGTCCGTTAGAATATGTGCTAACTGCTTATGCTAAACAATCTGTGCCACCTTGCATTTAGCTGTCACACTCTTGAGTACGTTTCCCAGACCTTAAGAAGAGCTCTGTGTGGCTCGAAAGCTTGTCTCTCTCACCAGCAGAAATTGGACTAATATTACCTCACCCATCTTGTCTCCTTGAAAAAAAACTACTCCCGTTTGAGCCAGATCAGACACCCTCGCTCTGTCAGCACCAATCAGCAGTGGTCATTTCTGCATTTCACTCATCTGATTGGTGGCTGGTGGGAGCAGCTAAGTCAGCTCAAGACGTGCTACTGGTGTTTTACAGTATGCAGTTATTGCTCAGTGCCCCTCCAGAGACCAGCTCAAGTGAAACACAGTTACAAAAATGGGCAGAGAGGAGAAGGGAAGTATCTGGGGTCACTGTCCACCAGCAATGGTCACTGAATCTGTGTAGCAATGAAGAGAGCTCCAATAATTTAAAAACTGAGCCAGATGTAGTTTCTGAATTATTTGCCTCTGCCTTAAAATGATACTGGAACAAATCCAAGGACACCAAAGACTTAATGGACACCATTATGCAGCACAACACTGTCTACTCAGGACTTCATGGTGAAAGCTGAAATAGAACTCATCATGCTTCAAAAGTTCCTTACCACTATGCTAAAGGAGAATCCTCACTAGCTGTTAGCTGTATAGAGCTTATGACATTCAGCTGTACAGCACTGATTCCATTCAGTAGAGAGCAGTGGTACACACACACAGAAGCCAATTCATAACAACACAAACCACAAACCCTAAAATACTTTACTAGGAGAGTATCCCCAAAAGGAGGCTCAAATTGGCAATCAGTGTATTTTCGTAATTTCTTAATTTATCTGCTGCCAGTGGCACTACTCTTTTGCCTATACCCCTTTCTCCAATCACCAATTTTGTTTTTTCAGAGTCAAAAAGTATCCAAGGCTACTGAATAACAGTCACTGTGCAGTTTTTATGTCTCTTCAAATTGACATAACTTGTCAATGAAAGTCAACCAAATCAAAACTCTACATTTTATAGATCATTTAGGTATCTTGTTCATTAGGAGATTATACTTTCCAAGCACATTTTCTTGTTATGTTTCATAACTTTATTCTCACAGAGATCTTAAATTTACACATACACTTTCAGGTAGATAAAGCCCCAAGGTTAAGTTTTGTTTTAAAAAGTTATACTGAAACTGGCATTCATATACGTCATTCATTTTTAAAATATTAATGGAAACAATTTTGTTTGGATTTAAATGCTGTTTGCAACCCAAACATTGCTGCATTGTGAGAATGTGTCCCCAACCAAAAGTAAAAGAGACTAGTCTGTTTACAATTTCCAATCTGAGTGACCTGCAACCTACATTGAAAGTGAACAATGAATTAAATTTGTAAACATATTTAATGTTAATAATCTAAAGTATTATTAATTATTACTATTATTAACACAAGTAAGGAAATTCATCTATAAAATGTGGTGGACTTTCAATCGGCCAATAGCATTTGCATTCGGTTTCTTTTTGGAGGTGAATCATCCCTGTAAGATGTTTAACAATACAGCAAAATTGGAGATCTAGTTTGAGGTACATTCACCTTCACAGATAATAGCATCAAACTATTAACATCAATTTCGGCTAACTAGCAAACAAAGATAAAATTGCTTAGACCTTAGTAATAATAATATGGAAAGATATAAACTCTTGCACTTTTAGAAATGTCACACAGATCAGAAAACAATAGCTCTTGATTAGTTAAAACATACAAATTGACCCATATTCCACATAAACGATTGCACTTTCGCATTCTCCTCCAGGTAACACCACACTGAATTACAATAGCAGAGGACACTAATGCTCCAGATAAGTGGGTTTGCAATATTTGTTTAAAGTTTCATTATACAACATTGCTGCCAGTTATAATAAGAGGTGGAAGGCATATCATAAGCAAGTGCGGTCGTTTTATAGATAACCAAATTTGATTTCCTATTCCGTACTTGGTTTAGTTTTGTAACACTTTCCCCGGGACCAATGACAATAAGACTGCATTCATAAACCATCAGATACAAACGCTATGGTCCTAGCCAATGAGAATGAACTAGTGAGTTATCCACAGGTACAGCCAAAACCCCACTGCTGAACGCTGTGGATGGCACTGTTCAGAAACGAAGCTGGCAAAGAATACAGTAAAACAGCCCCCCCGGGTATAGAAAAGGGAACAAGGCAGGCGATAACGAGCCTCTTTTACTTAAAGTGGGGCGATCAGACAGGGCAGATGTACATAGAGCTCTGGACTCACCGATTTTGGCCAGACTGGCCACAAGTATCCAGAGTGCAATGATGTAGGGCTCCTGCACATGATGCCATTTGAAAGAGACGATCTGAAAGAAGTGAGGTCCGCTGACCGCTGTATGGTCCCCCGAGCTCTTCTCCTGTGCCAGGGCTACTGGAAGAACCAGAAGCCTCTCGGCTAAGGGCACCGGTCTCATCTCCAAGCTCATCTGCACAACGCACCGAACTGCCCTGGCTGGGAGCGCCAGGCGCTCTGCAATGCCTTTGCCCCTCGGTCCTTGCCCCTGGCAGGGATGGCTCCGCGCGTGCAGGCGCCGTGATCCCACTGCCCACGAGCGGGCTGCTGCTGTTGCTGCCTCCCTCTGGGGGCCGGCAGGGGTCGGGACTCGCCAAGCGCCGCGCGCGATACACACGGGCAGATGCTGCAGCTCGGGTCCCGCTGCCCGCCGGCAGCTGCCTTTATGGGGCAGTCCCAGAGCCGCCAGAGGCGGAGCTACGCTCCCCTCTCCCGCAGAGGAGGCTGCTGCAGACGGCGGAGCCGGGCCGGAGGGAGTAGCGCCGCCGGGGATCTCTGCGGAGCCAGGACTCTACCCGGGCAGCGCTGAGCACGTGGGGTCTGAGCCTGGGGGCTGCCCGCACCTGCACGCCAGGGATGCAGGCACTGGGGCCTGGGTGGGGTGGGCACCGGGGCTGGGGACCGGGGCGCGCCCGCCCGGAGCGACTGTAACTTGGAGCCGGAGCAGGGGGGGGCAAGAGGCCAGGGAGCCCCCGCTCCGGGGACATAATCTTGCCCTCTGAAGAACTTGGGGGATCGTTCCCTAAGGGCCAATCACAGCCCTCAGAGACATCCCTCCCCCCCACACACACCCCACCGCCTGCCGGGGAGGGGCCCCGCTGGCTTCGCTCAGTGACGCCCCGATTCAGCGGGACCAGAATCTGGCTCATTAAAACCTGCTGCGTCCCAGAGCAGCCTTGCGCGGCTCTCCCCAGCACGCACCGGCCTGTCGGCCCAGATCTGTCCAGGGCTCGGGGTTTTGTTTAACTCTCCTTGCTGCTTTCTTTCCTGTACTTTTTTATGGTTACAAGGTGAAGCGCCCTTTGGGATTCCCGCCCCCCCCCCCCCCATAACCTTTGCTTGAGCGCCTCACTCGGTTGCATTTCAGAGCCCGGACTGTGCGTACTGTGTTGGGCAGCCGGAGCCAGGATAACCATCACGCTGCTGTCAAAGGGATTGCAACCAAAGCAGCGTGTGTTCTGAACAAACAGATCTCTGTGCACCACCTCCCCACGCTCCGGCCGCGCCGCCCAGCGATGCACTGTGAAGCAATTGAAATATTTGGGTGCAACATGGGCAGGGCGCTAGTTCTATGGCACGGGGTGGAAAAATACTGCTAGTCCATTTGCTTAATATGATGCAGCAGGTCTGTGCTCCCAGTTCAAAACTAGCGAGATAAACAGCAGGAAGGAAATGCCCAGGAGATAAGAAGTGAGATGATTCAAAGGGCTTAAACTGGGACATTGAGGAAAATATGGAAAACCCCAGCAAGATGCTATATAAATCACTGAATTGATTATTTAAAATCATAAATGTTTAAGTACAAGTGGTGCTATTTTTTTTTAGTTTGCTGATAATTTAAGGGTGTCTCCTCTTAATGAACTAATAACCTTATTTTAAGCTACTCAACTTGGAGACCAAAGGCCACTAAGATTGATTTAGCCTGTATTTCCTCAAACAGAAGGCATGCTCAGATTAGCATTCTACCTTCTACCTTTTTGCTGCCCAGGACCTCACCCCAAACGAGAAATTTCATTTTGTATTAAATATAGTCCTACAAATTTCTCCTCACCTCTCCATTAAATAGCTGAGTGAGGTAGCTATGGGGATTCTCCACAGCTGGACCATTCTGAAGCTGCAAATGAGAGTAAGGCTGTGTCTACACTGTGCCCCTTAAAGCTGCTCTTTGTCGGCAGGAGAGAGCTCTCCTGAGGATGGGTGGTAGGGCTTTGTCAGTGGGAGAGTATCTCTCACAGACATAGCACTGTCCACACCGGTGCTTTTTGTCAGTAAAACTTTTGTTGGTCGGGGGTGTTTTTTTCACACCCCTGACCGACAAAAGTTTTACCAACGAAAGTGAGGTGTAGACATAGTCTAAGACTGAAGTTTATCTGATGTGCCTTTGCTCAAGGATGTGCTAGTGGAAGATGTAGCCAGCAGCAACTTGAAAATGTCCATTTCTCTGAGAGATGTTTTTTAGACCAAGTCCAGCAGGGAGTTGCTCTGAATGGCCCCAACCACTCAGAGCATAGGGATTTTTTTGTGCTATGGGATGTTTGAGAGGTAACCATACAGCTGGAAGTCAGTATCTGTACAGGATATGTGTAATCTAATTAGCAGAAAAACCATTTCATCTGAGTATAAGTATAATGCAAATTAGAACCTTCCATTCTGGGACATGTATTTCATGGTAAAGGGGTGTGGCATAAGTATTGTTTGCAAAAGGACTTTGACTCCTTAAAATGCACCCACACAAGGAATTTTCCTTGTCAATAAGACATTGGCCTTTGTAACAAAAGGAGAGGGCTGTTCAAATTCTTAGAGCAGTGTTTTCAAACTGTGGGTCGCAATCCAGTATTGGGTCACGGAATGTAAGGCACTGGGTCATGGCAGCTCTGGTCAGCACCGCCGACCGAGCCATTAAGAGTCCCATCAGCGGTGCTGCCTGGCTAAGACAGGCTAGTCCCTACCTGTTCTCACACTGCGCTGTGCCCCAGAAGTGGCCAGAAGCAGGTCCGGCTCCTAGGCTGGGGGGCCACAGGGCTCTGCACGCTGTCCCTGCACCGAGCACCGTCTCAGTACTCCCATTGGCCGGTTCCTGGCCAATGGTAGCTGGGGGGGCAGTGCCTGTGGGTGAGAACCACGCAGAGACACTTGTGCGCTTCCCCGTAGGAGCCGGACCTGCTGCTGGCCACTTCCGGGGCGCAGCGTGGTCCGCAGTGCCAGGACAGGCAGGAAGCCTGCCTTAGCACCCCCGCTGCACCGCTGACCGGGAGCCGCCCAAGGTAAGCCCACACCCCAATTCTCTGCCCCAGCCCTGAGCCCCCCCAAACCCAGAGCCCCCCTTGCACCCCAAACTCCTCATCCCTGGCCCCACCCCAGAGCCTGCACCCCCAGGCCAGAGCCGTGACCCCCTCCCACACCCCTACCCCAGCCCAGAGCTCCTTCCCACACCCTGAACCCCTCATTCCTGGCCCCACCCTGCAGCCCTCACCCCCACACTCCAACCCTCTGCCCCAGCCCCGAGCCCCTCCCACACCCTAGACTGATTCCCAGCTCTGTTGGGTCACGGGCATCAACCATTTTCTTCAACTGAGTTGCCAGAAAAAAAAGTTTGAAAACCACTGACTTAGAGCACAGTACTGGCACTGACTCACTGTGTGACTTTGGGAATGTCACAACATCTAAACCCTGTCTACACTCAGCTATGTCTACATTTAAACTGCTACACTGGTACAGCTGCGCCACTGTAGCACTTCAGTGTAGCCACTCACTACAGCAATGGGAGGGGTTCTCCCATTACTGTAATTACTCCATCTCCCGGAGAGCTTGCAGCTAAGTCGACAGAAGAATTCTTCCATCCACCTAATGTTCTCTACACTAGGGCTTAGGTCTGCTAACCTACGTTGCTCCAGGATGTGGATTTTTCACAGCCCTGAGACACCTATCTGGGTCGACTTAACTTTTTAGTGTAGACCTATCCTAAGCACATTTTTTCACAGCTTTCCCAGTTGCTAACATCAGTTCATCATTACCAGTATTAGCAACATCTACACCTAAAAGTTAGGTTGCCCTAGCTACATTGCTCATCCCTGAGAGACACCATTAAGCCAGCCTGAGTCCCAGCGTAGACAGCACTAGGTCGATAGATGAATTCTTCCATCACCTAAACTACTGCTCAGAGGGGCGGATAACTACAGTGACAGACAAAACCCTTGCATCACTGTAGCATGTCTATATGCCACGATGGCACAGCTGCAGTGCTGTAGCTGTGCCACTGTAGCATAAACATAGACTAAAAAACCTGCCACCATTGTTTTAAGCATCCTGGCTTGCTGTGAGCAGCATTAGATAACATGGTGCTTAGAACAGTGGCAGCAGACATTGGGTAATCCACAGGAGGGGTCCCAGTGGGGTTAATACTGGCAGAGCTGAAACAGTGTTAGCAGGCAGGAAAATGATTTGAAATATTCCTGTCCTGTAGACAGGGCCCATGTTTATCTGTTTATAACATGGGTATAGTACTTAGCTACCTTAAAGGGATGCTGTGAGAATTAGAATTTGTCAGGGTCTTTGAACTCCTTGGTGTAAAGTGCTAGAGAAGTACATATTGTTACTGTTTTTTTATGCTTTAATTGCCAGCTCATGAAAGATTCACAAAACAAGGTTTACAGCATTGTTAAAATGCTTACACAACACAATAGCTGACAACACCAAGGGCAGGGGCTAGGTGTGTTTGTGATAGAGCTGTCCCATCATTGTAACTATTCTGCTAAGCCGAGGGATATTAAAATATAAAAGATTGCTGCTCTTGGAAGTGCACAGAGTGCAGGATTCTTGTGCATTTCATTAGCATACTTGCCAGCCAGAATGGAGCAGGCAGGGTAGAGGAATTACCCCAATAAGTATGTAGGCAGGGGCGGCAGGTTTATAGAAATTTTGGTGGTGCCCAGAACGCCCAGAGCCCACCCCCGCCAAACTCTGCCCCCCCCTCACCTACCTAAGACTCTGGGAGGGAGTTTGGGTACAGACTCTGGCCTGGGGGTGGGGTGCAGGCTCTGGACGGGAGTTTGGGAGTGGGAGGGGGTGTGTGGGAAAAGGGTGGGGGTGTGGGCTGTGGAAGCGGGGGATGGGGCACGGCGTTTACCTGGGGCTCCTAGGCAGTGTGGGCCGGGGGCCTCTCTGCGCTGCTACCCCCAGGAACCGCCCCCGCAGCTTCCTATTGGCCGTAGGGGCGCTTGGGGTGGAAGCAGCACGCGTAGACACAGTCCCACCCCGCCCAGGGGCCACAGGGAGGGGTTGGCAGCCACGTGGAGCAAGCAGGCAGGAAGCCGCTCAGCTCCATTGCACTGCTGGTGGGGGGCGGGGGCTCCAGCCCGTTTTAAATCACCCGGGGGATGCGCGAGGGGAAGCGCCCAGGGGCTGAAGGTGGGGCCAAGGGAGAGACATGGCTGGAGCCAGGCCCCGGGCCAGGAATATTTCTGTTGCCCCGGCACCACGGGCCCATAGAACTTGCCGCTTATGCATGTAGGTACCTACCGCACATGTAAACCTGATAAATCAATGTTTCAATGTATATGTCTTATGTGTGCACACAAGTACACAATATCTATACGAAACACATAAAGAGAACATTAATGTTGCATGGTTAAACACGTAAGTCATGAAATATCAGAGTTAACCTTACACGTGTATCCCTGTGGGACCCTTTGGGCAAGGCTCTCTCTGGCTAGTGTCATGTAACATGCTTTGTTCTCAGTAATTAGTAACATGCATTTCAGTACCATCTTTGCCATAAAATAACTTACCACACAAGATCTGATATTAAATGAGTCTGCAAGACTAGAAACAAGAGCTGGAAAATTGCTCAGGCCTCAGAGAGAGAAATTGCAATTAATAACATTTTATATTTATATTCCCAAATAAACTTTAAGATGAGTTAAGGGTAAAAGTGTGTTTCAGTGGAGTCCCAATCATCATAATCAAATTCTCAGTCTACTGAGGACCATTGTGCCAGGCAGAGTAACCACAGCTGATGGCGTCACACCAGGCATCGTGTGGTGAAATTTCCACATTTGGCTCAGTCCTGCGAATCCAAAAATCTCTGTGGCGGTCCCGTGGGCAGTGCCCCGTAAGGGTCAGGGTGTGCACCTCTTTGTGCCTTGGAATCTAGACAATGTTCCAAATTAAAAACAAAAAACAAAACCTCCCACACTTTAAAGAGTTTGGAAATGAACTATTAAA